AACATGAAAGTATTCGATAAAATAGATTAAATGGATTAGTAAATAATTTGCTTTTTGTTTACACACACTATAGCCAGGCGACGCTCGCCATAGCCGGGCGACGCTCGCCATAGCCGGGCGACGCTCGCCATAGCCAGGCGACGCACGCCATAGACAGGCGACGCACGCCATAGACAGGCGACGCACGCCATAGACAGGCTGTGTTTATTAACATAAAATCCTAAACTTCTTTCTGACTGTTGTGTTCTTTGCCACTGCTTTAATTGACCATAGTCAACATATATACATTATCTTTATATATTTAAATAATTTTTGTTTACACACACTATGGGCGGGCAACGCTCACCATGGACAGGCGACACGTACTATGGACAGGCGACACACACACACCATGGTCAGGCTGTGTTTATTAACATAGAATCCTAAACTTCTTTGTGACTGTTGTGTTCTTTGCTACTGCTTTAATTGACCATATTTGACATATATACAGTATCTTTATATATTTAAATAATTTTTGTTTACACACGCCATGGACAGGCGACGCGCACCATGGACAGGCGACGCGCACCATGGACAGGCGACGCGCACCATGGACAAGAGACGCGCACCATGGACAGGCGACACACACCCTAGTCAGGCTGTGTTTATTAACATAGGATCCTAAACTTCTTTCTGACTGTTGTGTTCTTTGCCACTGCTTTAATTGACCATATTCAACATATATACATTATCTTTATATATTTAAAAATGTAATGTATATCTTTAAATTATTAAAAATGAATGCATTGCAGCATTGTGCTATAAGTAAGCCCACAGCTGCCAGTGTTACAGTACAAAATAGAATTTAAGAACTCCAGGGTTTCCTCTTTGTGTCTTTGGTTCTGATTTATGAAAAGCGGAGCTGTAGAAGGCAAGCAGATCTCTGGTTGGGATGTGGAAAGATCTGTACTTCTCTACTGTCCATATTGCTCTGCTTCCTGATACTTCTTCATTGTGTTCTATAGCGTTGGATCCATCCTGCAGAGAGGTCCCAAGAGGGAGCAAAGGCTTCGTTCTAGACCTGGAAGAAGACTTGGGAGGTCTGCAGTTATTGGTCACACTGGTGCATACTGTATATATGTCTGTGTGTGTGGGAAGAGGAGCGTGGGAAGCGGATCGTTCTCAAGAAGGACATGATTGGAATAACCATTGGGCTGGCTTCCTAGTTTTGCCTCAAACTACAAGACCCTGGCAGAAGCAGGCACATGAATGCACACTCATTTTGTTGGATATACTTTTTTGATATACAAGCATTATTTTTTACTACTTTAAGTTATAAAAATAAACTAATTGGTCCTATCACATTTTTTCCTCCTCTTGTTTTGGATTTATCCTTGGATTTAAAAGCCAGACACTTCATTTATCAATGTTATCTGTGTCAGTTAAGCGACACAAGGTTGAAGAGGCTGAGAGCATTTGAAACACAATTCTGATTAATGATACATGGAGCAGTGCTAATGTTGCAAGAAGCAGCTTGAAGTATTGTTTAGGTCACTCCAGTGCAAAATCATATCTGGGCAAAATGGGGTAAGTCCTTTTTAGCACTCTATTTGCTTTTTTGCACGTGTTTTGTTTTGTTTTTTTATCCTGAATTTTCATATTTGATTTTTGCAGTCTAATACAGAAACTGGATATAATTTTAAAGTGAAATTGCCTAATTATAATTCCCTTTTATATGTTGTGTTTTGGCTGTTTTTAGATATAGAGCATGATTGTTTTTATTTTATTTGAGGTCCTTTAAAGCCAAATTCCAGGCAGATATAATTGACACAATACTTTAATGCATCTATGTATTCATAGTACATCTGTAAAGGAAATTTAGAGTTACACTATACACTTTAATTTCAGCATTGTAATAGAAATAGAAACAATAGTTATATTTGACAATCCAATATAGGTTTACTTGAAAAATCTCCTTTCATGTTGTGAGTTCTGCCTGTCTGCTGGCATCTCTTTCCAGAACTTCCTGGATTCCCTTTTTAGTTTCTGAGTCCTCATGCACACTGGACGTTTTTACAGCAGCTGTTTTTGGCTTTTGATGTTTTTTTTCTACAGCCAGTAAACCCCCCAGCATGTTATCCTATGTGTCCATGCACACATAGACTAATCAACTTTTTTTGGCTGGAAAAAAAAACCCAGGACTAGTGGGTTTCTAGCGGAGTTTTTTAGCTGTAAAAACGCTCTAAAGCTGAAAAATGTGGTATTTTTGGATGTTTTTATGATCAATAAAAAAAAAATATTTTTTTTGGTTAAAAGAAAGAGCTAAAAACCGCAAATGTGGAAAAACGGCACTAAACCCTAATGCAAAACCACAAAAAAAAAAGCTGAAAAACTCACTCATGTTTTTAACATGACTTTACACAGCTAACTTTACCAGCGTTCTCAAAACACCCAGAGTGCATGCAGCCTAAGGACTACATATCCCATGGTACCTTGCTGTCTGTAAGCAATGATTCCTGAAAGTCCTCTTCTCAGCCCTTCTGTAGTTCAGAAGGCAGGCTCTGTGAAATGTCACACGGCAGAGCCTACTCACAGGGCATAGTGAATACATGCCACAGAATTCAAGGAAGTCATTGTGTGGGGATCTTCATAAAGTAAGTTTACAAACTTCAAGATTGTTCAGAATAATAGGGTGTGGGCTATAAATACCTGAAATACAATGTGTAAATGAATGTATGACTTTATATTTTTACATTTTGATCATAGATACACTTTAAAAAAATAAAATAAATATATATATTTGGTGCAAGTACCTGAATTAGACTTGGTATCAGCCACTTAGCCCATGTATAGCAGTGCTAAGCCTAGGAGTGGAAGAAGCAGCACAAGGAGCCAATCAGTTGTGCTGCAGTACTCATGCTGTAACAAGAGACATGCTGATGATCGTCTGAAAGAGGAAAGTGACAGTGAGAGGGGTGCATTAGTGTGCTCCTTCTCCCTTTACTGTCCAGTTACAGGCTGGAGATGGATAAGACTTGCAAAAGTATTACTTAAAGCAAATCTTCACCCCACCCTCGTGGTTTTTTTTTCTATTTAACCCCCATTTACTGGGAGGTGTGTTCTGCACATTTCAGATGCTCGCCCACCAGGCGGATCCAGTGTTGTCCTGCTGAGATCCTCTGTTCCCCTGCCACCGCTTGGTCCTGTGCAGCCATGTTGTTTCTGGTGTCATTGATGTTCTACCTGGCTCTTCCGGGTTCAGTGGGCGGACTTTATTAGGCCCCTCCTTCTGCTTTGTGAATTTAAACACTATTCCTCCATGGATATATGACGTGCATATCCCTAAAGGCACAATGGGCACTGTGCACATCGTTCAATTAGGTCAGGGGTAGGCAACCTGCGGCTCTCCAGCTGTTGCAGAACTACAAGTTCCATCAGGCCTCTGCAAGTCATAGCTGTAACTGTCAGTTTTGTAATGTTGCAATGCTTCATGGGAAATGTAGTTCCACAACAGCTAGAGAGCCGCAGGTTGCCTACCCCTGGACTAGGTAAATGACATTTATGGGGGGTGGGGCTGGATACTTTTCTTTATATAAAAAAAAAAACCCAAAACAAAACATGGTACTATTTTTGGTACAGGATGGTAGGAGGGGTGGAGTGGAAGGGACTTCATTAAAGTGTTACTAATCCCAGGACTCGGCATTCACTATATCTGCTCCCTCACAGTACACAGAACACGGAAGTGCAATTATTTTAGTAAATATAAACTGCTAAATACCTTTATCTCAACAGCAGTATACAACAGGCTTGTGACTTCTATCAGTGTTCAGCAGAGCACTGGTTAAAGCTTGTATGAGGAATTTTCATTTTGCTCTAGAAGGATGCAGAACCCCTGACTCTGTCTGGACAGTGCTGTCTGGCCCTGTGCTGATCACATGCACTCTCCCAAGAAAAAAAAAAAAAAAACCTCTCCAGCAATACACACCAAACTGAGCATGTGCAGAGTGACTCCACATGATATGTCTTATCTGGAGATAAGAGGGGGACACTGGAAGAAGGGGAGGATCAGAAAAGTCAGGATCAAACAGCATTTTATACACCATGCAGAGGATTAACCCCTGAGGTCCCACAGTGAGTATAACAAGCATGCTTTACTGCATATACAGACTGATTTTACTGTTGTAGGTTTAGTAACACTTTAAGAGGGCGAAGATCCTCTTTACGTTTGAACTACAGGAATTAGCCAAAATTTCCACCTGCAGTGCGCCCCCCCCCCATGCAGTGCAAAGGTTAACTACTTGTTAAATCCAGGAGTGCAGGAATAAGGAGTAAAACCTAACTTGTTTCCCTAATATGTGTCACCTTTGCCTTGCTGTATTCTCTTTCAAACGTTCTTGCTTGTTTTCGCACGCCTTCCTTCTCCATGTACAGTGCAGCGTTTACAACCCTGCACTGTACCTGCTGACACCAAGGACCCCCCCCCCCCCCCCCTTCCCCAATGCAGTATAGAACATGTCCACAGTTTTAGTGAATATATTTTAAATCAAATTGGAATAATACATTTCACATACAGTCATTCCAGGGAAAAATACTTCTTCTTTCATTTTAAGTCAATAGTAAATGTATCCTAAGATGGCACCTGCTTCCTAACTCTGTGCTGTTATGCACCTCACTCCCATGCAGCTATGGATATTTTCACTTTCATATATATAGGCATTTTTTTTTTCCAGACATAAATTTTGTTAGTTGCTTGACAGCTGTTTTCAATTATAGCATTTACAGATGCAAAGCTCACTAATTTTCCATAAACATAAATAGCCTGTATGAAAGGCACTTTGGTTTACTTAATGGTAGCAAATTGATGTAATGCTTTATATTGATTGCCCTTGACTGATACATATAATGTTCAGAAAGGTCTGAGACGGTTGGTGGTTAAAATAAGCTGCCTTGCCTTTAACCACTGAGCATTCTTACACTTTCTAATTTTAACACACGGCACCGAGAAGTTTTAAGCGATTAACCAGGCTCTGTGGCTTATTTATAAAATGAGGGCAAATGCAAAATAAGTCTTTTACCTGCAGCAACCAATATGTGTTTTTATAGTCCAGTTCAGGGGCGGACTGACAACTCATGGGGCCCCCGGGCAATAGGGGATCATGGGGAACCTGTGTCCTTGCCCACACTCAAAGCACACCCAAAAAAGCCTATAAAAGGTACCAGGGGCATTTCATGGGGCCCCCTACTGACCCCGGGCCCCGGGCAGTGCTCGATTGGTCAGTCCGCCCCTGGTCCAGTTGTTGTTTTATTTAAAGGGAAAGCTAATACAGGCCATAGATGGGTCGGAAATTGGCCGATTTTTCAGCCAAAAAAAAAAATCGGCCGATTTTCGGATCGTTAGTGGGTTTATAGGTCAGCCGTTTTTCGGGATTTTGGCACTTTTTTTTATCGGTAAAGTTGGAAAAAAATCGGCCGATTTTGCAGATCGGCCGATTTTCGTGGCAATGATGGGCAAATCGGCCGATCCTTTTTACCGATAAAAAAATCTGCGCATGAGCCGTGACTTGTAAGAAGAAGAAGAAATAGAAGAAGAAGAAGGAAAAGAATAAGAATTCCAGTCCGCTATTATATTTGACATGAAAAAGTATTGCGGTTGCAACATTGTACATTTGCAAGAAAAAGTATGTGAACCCCTTGGGATTACGTGGAGTTTTGCATGAATTGGGCATAAAATGTGCTCTGAACGTCATCTAAGTCACAACAATAGAAGAACACAGTCTGCTGAACATAATACTACACAAACATTAGATGTTGCCATGGTTTAATTGCACATAACATGTAAACATTCACAGTGCAGGGAGGAAAAAGTATGTGAGGCCCTAGCTTAAAGACTTCTCCCAGAGCTAATTGGAGCCAGGAGTGAGCCAACCTTGACTCCAATCAGTGTGTGATATTGGATGTGTTGCTGACAGCTGTCCTGCCCTTAAAAAACACACACCTGTTTTGGGTTTACTGGTTTCAAGAAGCACTGTCTGATGTGAACCATGCCTCGCAGAAAAGAGCTCTCAGAAGACCTACGATCAAGAATTGTTGACTTGCATGAAGCTGGAAAGGGTTACAAAAGTATCTCCAAAAGCCTTGATGTTCATGTGTCCACGGTAAGACAGACTGTCTACAAATGGAGAAAGTTGAGCACTGTTGCTACTCTCCCTAGGCTAGGTCGTCCTGTAAAAATGACTGCAAGAGCACAACGCAGAATGCTGCATGAGGTAAAGAAGAATCCCAGAGTGTCAGCTAAAGACCTACAGAAATCTCTGGCACATGCTAACATTTTTGTTGACACATCTACAATAAGGAAAACATTAAACAAGAATGGAGTACATGGGAGGGCACCACGGAGGAAGCCATTGCTGTCCAAAAAGAATATTGCAGCACGTTTGAAGTTTGCAAAAGAGCACCTGGATGTTCCACAGCACTACTGGCAAAATATACTGTGGACAGATGAAACCAAGATTGAGTTGTTTGGGAAGAACACACAACACTATGTGTGGAGAAAAAGGCACAGCACACCAACATCAAAACCACATCCCCACTGTAAAACATGGCGGAGGGAGCATCATGGGTTTGGGGCTGCTTTGCTGCCTCAGGGCCTGAACGGATTGTTGTCATTGATGGGAAAATGAATTCCAGAGTTTATCAAGACATTTTGCAGGAAAACGTACGACCATCTGTCCACCAACTGAAGCTCCGCAGAGGATGGGTGATGCAACAGGACAATGACCCAAAGCATACAAGTAATTCAACAAAACAGTGGCTGCAACAGCACAGAATACGCCTTCTGGAGTGGCCCAGTCAGCGTCCTGACCTCAACCCTAATGAAATGCTGTGGCATGACCTTAAGAGAGTGATTCACACCAGACATCCCAAGAATATTGCTACACCGAAACAGTTTTGTGAAGAGGAGTGGTCCAAAATTTCTCCAGATCGTTGTGCAGGTCTGATCTGCAACTACAGGAAACATTTGGTTGAGGTTATTGCTGCCAAAGGAGGGTTATTAAGTCCAAAGGTTCATACTTTTTCCTCCCTGCACTGTGAATGTTTACATGTTATGTGCAATTAAACCATGGCAACATCTAATGTTTGTGTAGTATTATGTTCAGCAGACTGTGTTCTTCTATTGTGATTTAGATGACGTTTAGAGCACATTTTATGCCCAATTCATGCAAAACTCCACGTAATCCCAAGGGGTTCACATACTTTTTCTTGCAACTGTATCTATTTGTATCCTAATAAAAATATCTGTATCCGAAATGGATACAAATAGATACAATGTTGCAACCGCAATACTTTTTCATGTCAAATATAATAGCGGAGCTCTCTGCAGGGACAGAAGTAATTAAATGCCGGCCGTAGACAAGATGAAAATCGGCCGTTTTTTTTTTTTTTTTTTTTTTTTCTTTTTTTCGGTTGGTGGTAACGTCGCTATTGACTGACCGATTTTTTTTTTTCATTTTTTTGTTAAAAAAAACGGCCAGTTTTCGACCCATCTATGGCCTGCATAAGTCTGGCCATACACTATACAATTTTCTGTCCAATTTCCTTTAGATTTACCGTCAACTATGTAGTGCAAGGGTCTGCCTAATTGGATACAATTGAAAGTGTTAAGGTTTGACCTCCTATTATATGGTTTTTGGTAAATCTAAACCAAAAATCTCAAGAAAATTGTATAATGTATGGCCAGCTTAACTTTGATAGAAGAAAATTACATAAAATGTATAAATGCTATGCAGGCCACTGAGCACTTTATTATTATAAAAATGAAAACCCTTTCAATCTAGGTTCACACTGACGCGATGCGGGGAACAGCATGTGCTTTGCACAGGAATCGCACCGCATTCCTGTTCAAATCACATGTGATTCTGTGCTGTTCCATTTGAGTTAATTCATTTTGCATGGCTCAGATTGCACCACATCCACACGAAAAAGGTACAAGCATCTTTTTTTTTTTTTTTTTTTTGCTGCTTTGGAATTGGATTGCATGGATGTTCACATCTATGTGATCCGATTCAGGCAATCGCACTGCCTTTTGTGACCTGGTTTTGGGGTGTTGTTAACTTAACATAGACACCCGCAGTGGATAGAATGAACATAGTGCAATTGTGATGCGGTGCAGAAAACGAACAGGAATCGCTGCAAATCCAACACTGCATCAGCGCAAACCGAAACTAAAGCTGGCCATACACGTGTACATTTTCAGACGAGGATATTTGTAAGAAAAGTTGTACGAACATTCTTTGAACATTCGACAAACATTGTTCTTTGTTTTTAAAGCGGAGCTCCACCCAAAAGGGGAAGTTCTGCTTTAAGGACTGCTCCCCATTAAGGATTGGCACCTTTGGGGGGTGGGGGGGAGTGGGTACCCCGAATTTGACAGGTACCCGCTCCCACTTCTGGTCCAATCGCCTAGGCGATTGAAAGCGGAAGGTGTCCTCCCTCCCTCCCTGTAGTCTTTTGGGACATGTGACAGGTCCCAGAAGACTACAGGACCATTCATGAAGCGCAGCGCTACTCGCGCATGCGCAGTGCGTACCTGGCTGTGAAGCCGCAAGCTATCACAGCCGGGTGCCCACACTGAAGATGCCGGCCTCCTGGAATACAGGACGGCCGGTGAAACGGGCTGCGGGGGACACACCGCTGGACCGAGGGACAGGTAAGTGGGTGTTTTTTAAAAGTCAGCAGCTACAGATTTTGTAGCTGCTGACTTTTATTTTTTGACAGGATGAGTGGAACTCCGCTTTAATATTCGATTTTAAAATAAATGTAATTTCTGAATGATAACCACATACACTGGCCGAATTTTCCTTCCTGCCCCTTCGAATTTTCCTGTCAATGCTGTTGAAAACTAACACCAATATGAACCAAAGGAGCACATGTGAACAACCACAAAAAACTGCACTAGAGTGTGTTGTATGATCCCCTCCCAAAGAGGACAGACCCTTTTCTGACTGCCGGGGACTTAAGGCTCTTGACAGAGGCAAGGCGTTCTGGTTCACCAAGCCAAAAGGCCTGATGGACCCCTATCCTCATGGTAAGCCAAATTTAGGGGCTTCCCTCAAAGAGAGACCCCCCAAGGCAGGGGAGGAAGAAACCTAAGGCTCACACATTCCCTCCCCCCAAGACTTCAGGGTATGCCCAAAGACCCACGACCTTCCATCCGGTATGTGAAAAAAAGACGCAAAAATAAGTGCAATGTCTTACATTAACTAAAATAAATAAAAAGTACCAGTCCCTGCAGCTTATTAACGAATTACAGCTTTCCCCAGAAGTCTGCAAAATGTCCTTCACGTGACCGGTTTAAACGCTGGATTCCTGGAGCAAGATTCTTGCTGCTGGAATGACTGGGTCATGTGATCAGCCCATATAAACAAATGGTGGCCTGACCACGGCGGCAGCTGCGGTTTGCCTGTGAACACACACAGAGCAGTTAGCTATGGTTGGAGACAGATGTCTGAGCCTGAATGCAGCTTCAGCTACATGAGACATCGCTCAGTCTACCACCCGACACTGTACCATGTTAGGTTACTGGGGGGTGGGGGGTGTATTTCTGTGTTTGGGAGAGCTTCCATTCATCTGCCATCGAAGGGCTATCAAGGTCTAGATTTTTGACCAGTTAACTTTTCAAGGTCAAGACTCACAAATCGTCTGGATTATATTATGAGTCCACATGTGTGAAACTAAATTAATAAAGATAAATGTTGTGGATGATACTTTTATTAAGGCCCCATGTACACGGGACGCTTCAGAACGATGGAAACTGACTGCTGGAAAACGTAGGTTAAAAAACGTCTGTTTAGCCGCGTTTGCATACCGCGTTTATGCACGTTTATTATCGTTTGCATTTAGAAGCAGTTTTTTAAAGATAACCTTGGGAGACCTTCCAAAATGCCCAGAATGCACTGAAAAACACTAAAAAATTAACTATTTCAGACATTTTGATAAATAGAGAGAGAGCAGAGGCAGAGAGAGCAGTGTTTGTTGAGATTAGCTGTTTTTTTTTGTTTTTTTTTTGTGGTGTTTGGATGTGTTCCGGCTCATTTCTGTGCAGAAATTATTGCAGCAGTGTCTAACATATTTACTTTCATGCGAAACCTCAAAGTACGGTGTACCAGGTCCATTTGAGTACCGGGAAAATGCTTTGCATGCATTTTTCATGATGAAAAAAAGGTTTGGACAGCATCTGGAAATGGAAGAGTTAAAAAAAATTTTCAAACACAG